AGAAGCTTGACAGGGCGTCTTTCCCTTCAAATAAGTAACGTTACATGTCAGTTTACACATAGTTATAAAAACAATTACGATATCAGACAATACTGTAAATATCACACATAGCTTTGTATTTGGACAAAACTGCACTTTTTGGGCGCTGCGGTAGAGACTGTCACTGAGGTAAACATTAACGTTAACTTAAATAGCAGATTGCCAGGTCAGGATTTACACAAAAATAAGCGTGAAAAAATCAATAAGAGGAATCGAAACTTTAATTTTATAACAATAGGCTAATCCGAATCCTAACCTTGTATATCAGATTTAATGATACATTTATCGATTTTCAATTCCCAACCCTATAAAGTTATAAAATAATGAACGTGCAGGCGTTTCCACCGACATAACGTGGTAAATAACAAAACTGATTAGACCATTTTGACCTTATAAGAGGCTATATATGATATACATGTTAATAAAATCACATTTAATCAAGTAACTTCATATAGTTCATGCCGCGGCCAGTTCTAACCTTAATCCGTTAATGTAAGTAACTGATATGGTTTGCATAAAATATATAATTACTAACCAGATATATCATATGTAGGCTATGGCGAAAACATTGCAGACGACAGCGGCGCGATGCACAGCCTGCACACTCTCACAGAGGGAATAAGGGAACTGAAGAGTTCTTCATAAAATGGCAGCTTGTTGTGGTTATTTTTCGCAGTCATTTCGTACTTATGTATTTAAATTGACAGTAACATGTCCCTAGGTTACATTGAAGAGTGTCAAATTGTACATCTTATAGTAAAATGTCTAGAATAGATTAAATTGAATACAGAAATTGTGGTCAGCTATTCTATATAACTTTAAAGTTATAGCAAGAATCCATAATAATTATTACTTACCAGATGAAGAAGTTCCTGGTCGGCAGAAAAGACAGCGGCACCACTGACACGACAAACTCTTTCAAAATTCAAATGCGCTCTCATGCACACTGAATTAAGGCTGTTCATGGTCACTGGCCCAGTGCTACATTTCTTTTTTTTTAATGTAAGAATAATAACATTAGAGGTCTAGCAATTTTACCCGTGGAACTGTGTGTCGAGTTTTTCGCGGTCAGTTTGCACTGCTGTATTTAGATTAACAGTAACTGATAATTTCCCAGAATGCATTGAAATTCTACAGTAACATACTGTCAACTGTGTGCACAGTACATAATTGTTGAAAAAACAAAATAATACTGTGAAAACAACTAAATTCTACTGTAACTTACTGTACATAGATTATACAGTAAGAAACTGTTGACAAAAACTGTATAATCCTGTGAAAACAACAGAAATCGTTTACAGTGTAGTTATGTTTAGGTTTGGGATTAGGGTTATGGGATCTTACATAAAATGGTAAAAAGGGATATATACAGATATCTTTATGACATAGAATATACGTAAATACTTAACGTTTTGTAGCTGTAAAAACATAATAATGTTACTTTTAAATGTTGCAAATACGTATATATTATACATTTCAGCATCTATCCAAACGTACAAAAAAGTATGTTTTCTATCTTTGCAAAAAACTTAAAATACCTACGTATTAACAATGAGACCAGGCTGCTAAAATCATATTGAATTTCGTTGACTAAAACTAGACTAAAACAATTCAGATGACTAAAATATGACAAACTAAATGGCATTTTAGTCAAAAGACTAAAACTAAATCAAAATTTGTTGTCAAAATGAACACTGCTTTAGTTTGAAAATTACTTCAATTATCTTTTTAACTGTTAACTGGTTTCAATCTTATTTATGGAACAGAAAGTTTTTGTTCAGGATAGGTCATTTCTTCTGTTCTGTCGCTCACCTCCACAGGGATCGATCTCGGCGCCCTCCCTTTACTCGTTCTACATGCTACCATTGGGTTCTATATTTTAATAAGACATGGTGTTGCCTTCCATTCTTATGCTGAAGACACCACAATATACGTATATACACCTATTGAGAGAAATGATCCGTCTGCTTCCATTTCTCTTTTATTATGCTAAGATGAGGTTACATCTTGGCTTGCAAAAAAATTGTGTCTTTAAATGAACACGAAACTGAGGTGATAGTTTTCCCCACTGATAATTTTAAGACCACCAGCATCGCTTTGAGGAGCTTCTCTGCATTCAGATCTATGCGGGATTAGGTGTGCTTTTAGATGGGCCTTCAAAACGTGATAAATATCTTCCGTAACTGCATCTAGTTTATCAACTGCATCTAGTTTTTATTTGAGAAGTTGCACAGATACTTGAACATTGGTAGCTGTATTTGTAAGCGCTCAGACCAGTTTACCTAAAACACCTTCAAAAAGCCATCCTGCATTGAAATGTAAATGAGTGTGGGGGGATGTGGAATCAGGGGCATAGCAATCATTTCAAAAGTGAGGGGGACAGAATGTCAAGCATTTTACATGGTTCATGTTTACATGAAAGACTAGACTTGTGTATGTGTTTAGTTACTTCTTAATTTTTCAGTTTTTTTTTTTTAGATTCAGAATATGTTTCAGTGTGAAATACGGTAGAAATATCTTATTCATTTTTGTGTTGATAAGTTTTGAACTTAAATAACAGTCTTGGAAATAATATGTAAGCATGTGCCTGTACAGTAAATCAAGTTTTGTTTGCCAGAAATCAATTCATGTAAATCGAAAGATCTTAGTTTAGCCAAGACTGATCGTGTGATCACTGAGTGAAGAGTTTTGAGAAGTTGTTCAATGTTGTATTATGTTCAGAGTTTTAGCAGTGTTGTGTCGAAGTGAAATATGTAGTTTGGAAGATGTAGTCACTGAATGCATTAATACAACTCTAAAAAGAAAAACAACAACAAAAAAAGCAACCTGTAATAGCAGCTGCAAATGGGGCCTTATTTATCACTCAGAAAGAATTAGTGTTAAACACATTTACACAAACTCTAGACACAGAAGGATCATATGTTCCCCACATCACACCAGGACATTTCACTCAAAATTGTGAAATATTTCACTCATTAAGTGTTTGATTTACTCATTCAACTGATGTTCAAAACAACTGTGTAGTTACCGTGCTGCAAAAAAATGCAGACATGTTTCTTTATAAAATAGCAGACACAATACCACTGATATTGAAAAAAAAAGATCTAAATCAACTTCTAGGTTTGGGTGAAGTAAGAGGGTCACAGAGACAGAACTAAAAACCTAATTTGTCAAATAAACTCTAAAAATAAAAGATATTCAAGACTGTGGTATAAATAATTGGATGATCTGACCATAACTCATACTATCCTTGATTTTCTAACTTAGGACATTTCCTTTGTGTGTGATTACATCGCCCTCCCCCACACTAATTAACATATCAATGCAGTATGGCTGGAAGGTGTCTAGGTGAAGTGGCCTGAGCGCTTACAAATACAGCTACCAATGTTCAAGTATCTGTGCAACTTCTCAAATAAACTACAATAAACTAGAGAAAATGCTGGGATTTACCCTTCCAAAGTTATTTTGTAATGTTTTCTTTTGTAAAAATGTATTTAAAAAATAAATAAATACAAGAATTAGACTATCTACTGTTAACTGCAGTTTGTTTACTTTTCTTTAACATTATTTACAAACCAGTTATTTAGGAGTTGTCAGTGATTCATGAGATCACTTAAGTGCATTTAAATGTAGTAAATGCAAGAAGTTAAGCATTTAGTAGTGGTCAGTTAACTTTTTTTGGCAGCTCATCTAAAGTGAGGAATAGTTATATCTTGTAAAGCATTCATAAATTAGATTTAAAGGCTCAGTTCTCTTCTAAACAGAAAAAGGAAACAAACACAACACTTTGAACATAAAAGAACATACAAATATTTAACTGAGCCTTTGAAATCTCTTTTATAAATGCATTACAAGGCATAACAGGTCCTCACTTTAGATGAGCTCACAAAATAGTAAACTGACCACTACTAAATGGTTGATAACTACCTGAATTAACCTTGGATTACAGTAGAAATACATGTTAAAAATGTATTTACACACTAAGTAACTATTACTATATGTCTGAATAATAAGATACATGAATGCACATTGAAATAGTTTATTAATCATTTACTCACTTTCTAAGTGATCTTATAAACCACTGACAACTCCTAAATAACTTTATATTGGTTTATTATTATGGTTTATAATGCTATACTTCATTTAGAAATCATAAATTGTTCATTAATAAAGCATGGAATTAAAATGATTAAAACACATTATAGATATGCTTTTAAACCAATAATCAGCAATTTATAAAGACAGCTATAAAGCTATAAATTCTTTAATATTGTTTTAAAAGCATATCTATAATGTGTTTTAATAATTGTATTTTCATTAGTTAAGCATTTACTATTGCTTAACTAATGATTACTAGCGTGGGGTTATTAAATTTACTGAAAGTACCTTAACTAAGCAGCTCTACAGTCTCAGAGGCTTTGGGACAGCCAGCCATTCAGACAATAGAGAAGTGTGAACGACGTGTGTTAATGGGCCACTGCAGTTCCTGCTCCAGCCTACAGGAGCGCTGCTGAGTATGGGCTTAAACACACACACATGTGTTAGTCCCCACTTGGTCAAAAGTTAAAAAAATTCACCAGAGCGTTTTTTAGTTGATTTTAACATGTTTTAAGGCATAGCTAACAGGGGACTTGAAAAATGTCCCCACTTCCCTCGGCGGTCCCCTGTTGGTGAGTGTGTAACGACACCAAAGTCCCCTCTTAGATAGGTAGACAAGTACACACACACACACACACACACACACATATTATGTAAACACAAACTTTTATTTTGGATGCGATTAATCACAATTAATATTTGCACAGCCCTAATATATATGCCATGTTTTTTTATTCAGTTTTGATGCCAAGGTAATGTTTGTATATATATCATTATGTTCCATGACAGTCATCAGGAACAAAGAAGAATATATCAACAAACCAGTAAGTAACGTCACACCTCCATAACTTGTTTTTTTTTCTTCCCTCCCACTCCAGTTATTTGTGTTCATATATAAATCAAACGTGCGTAGTTTTTATCATTTCCTTGTTCAGAGAGCTGGCAGTAGCTCTTCAGACTTGATACAGGTAAGCAGCACATGCACTCACCTACTTTTCTCGACAGAAACTGTTGGTTTACTTTCTCTCTTTCCATTTTCACCATTCGTTTCCCTCTGGTGTCTTTTCACACTCCAGTGTTGCAAGGCATACATTTTAACATTCTCCAAAAAGAATTTAAATCAAAAAAGAAATGTACCAAATTATTTTTTATTTAAGTTTTTATCCCATGCTTGTCGTTTTTTGAAATTTGTGACGTTATTGCTTGATTTTTTTTCTTTTTGATCAAATCTATAACAACCCTAACAACATAATATTTCTCTAACATAGGCCTACTGCTGGTTTAAGATATTAATAACATATCACTGCACAATATCATAATTTTATTAACCTATTAGATCAGTTAGCAGATATGGAACCACAACATATCAGGTATTGTGTTAAACCATAATTTGTCATCAGCGTTGTTTTAAAAATAGATTTTTTTTTATAAGTAAATTGATGAATATCTACATATTGATAGGTGATGAACTTTAAAAAGAATATATACATTCAACCCCAAAATGTTATAATTTACTTGCCTTCATGAGGTTTCACACATGCATGACTTGGATGTTAGGAAGAATCTTTTTCCATACAAGAGAATGGCGACTGAGACTGTCATTCTGCCAAACTTCTCCTTTCATGTTCCACTGAAGAAAGAAATTCACATGGGTTAGAAACAATAAGTGATGGGAGAAATTTGACTTTTGAGGTGAACTATCTTTTAAAATGTTCCACTTACCCACTATTCACAAGCTCTGTCAATGTGGTCGGCATTTTTAGTTCAACAAAAGCTTGCACAACCTGATCGACAGCTTGAATAACTCACTTCAGTGAGCATTTAAAAGAAATCACATGTTTGCATTCTTTTCGAAATGATTGTATTACCCTGATGGAAAGATTAGTGGAATGAGTCACTGATAACCAAGGTCTTCCTGACATTTTTTTTATTTTTTTTATGAAATTGTCAAATTGACAACTGCCAATATCCATGGCTATTTAACTTTCTTAACTTAAAATATGTTTTTATTTACTAAAACATAAAAGCAGTAGCCTATTTTAATGTCTAATAAGACCCATTTATACTATGTGAAATAAATATAAAGCCGAATACTTAAACTCTTAAGCATTAAACTGCCAAATTTGGACAATTAGGCATTAAGGTGTTACAAATGGTGAATATCTGTAAAGCTGCTTTGAAACAATTTGTATTGTGAAGCACTATGATAAAAAATGTACATGAATTAAAGACCCCCAATTAGTACTATAGAGTCTGGAGAACATTTAATTTGAAGTAGGCCTATCTTTTTTCTACAAACTTAGATGTATAAACATGATTCAGTTCACTATTTTTGTAAAAAGCGGAATTACATGTACAGCAATATCAAATTAATAAATTAAAACACATGCTTATTTAATTAATACTGTAAGTTAACAGAGATTTGACAGCCATAAGTTACAACAAATGTTTCCAAAAGTTATCTCAAATTTGTCACGGACCAATGCATAGCGATAGCAATGTACTAACATATCCACATTTAATGATTTGCTGCTCTCAATTTATTCCTCATTTACTTTTACAGCCTCTCTTCATCTTCATCTGACAGACTTGTTCTTGTAAAACATCTGCAGAAATGGCAAATTTTGTCCAGCTGGTGGGAGTGTTGAGCCTGTGTGTGCTGGCTGTAGCAGTCTACGCTCAGGGTGAGTATCTAATCACAGTTGTTCTCTCATTGGAGATCACACTGAACTATTATTTTCTAGTCTTAATCACAATTATCAACATCAGATTTTTTTTTTCCGTCAGTGCTTTGCCTTTTCATTTAGTTATGCTATCTCTTTTTCCTATGGATCTAAAACATTTTAATTGACTTTCTCTTTCTGATTTAACAGACAACAGCAATGCATCTCCTCCTAGCATTGGAAATGAGATCTGCACATTCTACACTCAGGGTGGGACCCTCCTTCTGGACGGGCCAAAGGTTTTTGAAATGATGCTGATCGAGTTTGGACGGGCAATCCAGGTCTGTATACGTTTTCTCAAATCATTGATAAATCAGCAAACATGACTATATGATGTTTATGTAAATAGGGAGTGCTAAGGGATTAATGGAAAACTCTCTCTCTTACTCTCTTGGTAGACCTTGACCCCAATGGTGACTCAGCAATGGATTGATGATGTAGATGAGGATCATGACAAACGTCTCAACCTGGCAGAGTGCGCCAAACTCGTCCAGAGAGTCTCTGACTCCATTCAGAGGCCTCCTCCGCAGTAAACAAGACCTATCAAATGATAAAAGTTGCTTAAACATGTACGGAAGTATATGCAACAATAAAAAATAAGATCTCACTTTATTTAGTATGTAGGGCAATAGCTTCATCTCATGTAGGCTAATCTTTAATAAACAACATTGTGACGTAACATTTAAATACATTTATTGTCTGAGGAATAACTTTAAAACCAGGAATGAATGTATCTTTGGAAAATGAAGAAATAAAATCTGGTCAAAAACACTGTTGTAAAGTTCAGGGGTGAATTCAGGGTGATTTGGACACTTTTTTTTCTGAGTTTTATGTAACTTACACTGTTGCTGTATTTAGAGAGAAGTAAGAGATTTACTAGTAAGTAAGCGAATAATTGATTCACTTAAAGAGCCCCTATCATGGATTTTTGAAAATGACTGTTCATATGGTGTGGAATATAGCTCTAAGGGAATGAAAACATCCTGCAAAGATTTACATCTGAAAGTGCACCGTATATAAAGTTATTGTCTTTCAAAAGTGAGAGTCGACCCTGAGTCTATGAAATGAATTGTTTTTGAAAAGCTGTTACATCGTGACGTAGAGACATATTGGCCGCGCCCAGTTACAGACGGAAGTGTAAACTTGAAGTCTACGCATTCAAATACCAGTAGTTAGTTAGATAGTTCAGCCACTTTGCTTTCATTTACCAGGGACGAGCATGTGAAGAATCGGTGGTTAGAGTTCATATTTGCAATGATACCACAACAGTATAGCCCGATTGTGTTCTCATCATTTTAATTACGAATCGTTCAAAAACATAAATGAATTCAAATGTGGATTTGCAAGCGGTTGTTCCTGAAGGAGGGCTCAGTAACTTACTTACCCAGTGTATATGGATCAGCTTCCTCCAATGAATCACAACCTGTAAGTATTATTAATAATTGTTGCTTTTATGGGTTTTGAATGGTTTTGTAGCGTTGGGGCGCGAGGTGGGAAGGCGCAATAAGTATGTGTATGCGCGTGTGTGTGTAAGTTACGCTCAGCGCTAGCCTGACTTCGTTATACCAGAGAATGTCTAATTGAAGAGAATTGGCACTGGCTGGTTACTTCCGGGTTCTGGACTGGCTGCAGTAACACGTCTCTGTCCATGCGGGGGCGCTCGCGGTCGAGTGCAGAATGAATGGCAGTCAATGGGGTTTCACCCCCAGAAATCCACTTTTCTCTGGATGTAATTTTTTGTCAAGTAATTTGAAAGTTGCATTCAAAAGGGAAGGCTAAGATAATACACTCAGCTGAAAATTGCATTTTTAAGTTCACTTATCTGTTCTAAAAATCTGTTCAAAAATGTGATGACATCACACAATAGCAGAATGCTAGCGTGTTCCGGCCAACAACAGCCTAACCTGTAAGAAATCAAAAGGACATAAGTACTCGTTCATTCGACTTTTGGCCTGTAATCTATATTGAACTTGCGGAATCAACAATAAAATCTATTTTTATTTAACCCCATAGACTCCCATTCATTCTGCACTCGCCCGCGATCATCTCCAGTGGAATTCTAATGGAACTGCAACCAAGGTGATACACAATGGGGCAAATAGGAAGTGCCAAGGCTCTCCGTTAGACGGGCTCTGGTCATACTCATTTTCTATTGAGAAAATGAGCCCGAGATCGCTCCATAGAGCTTTGATTATGAGGCGTGTCTTAACCGAAACCAAAAAAACTCTGCACTCAATTGGATAGTCGGACAGACCTACAAACAATCAGAGCAACGCAGTAAGTCAAATACTTTGCATAGCATAGCTGTCAACAACAGAAGAACTTACTTATTTTAGAAGTAAAATAACGAGTGTTGCTTCTTTCACTTGGTCCTTCATGAGCGCGACCAAAGGAGAAACCACAACGACCACAGGCTTTTCATTACGTCCCATCTTCTTAACTTAGCGACCATCAGAGCCAGCTGATAAGTTACACTTTTGCCGAATATCTTTCCGATCGACAAATGCCTTGATTGCAGTTCTCTGTTTGTCTATTAAAATGAATGCGCTGTCGATTAATTTTAAAAACAGACGCGACAGCGGAATCTATACATCTCAATTCTCCAGCTACAGGCATCTCTGAGGGAAACCAGTTAGCGCTCTGATAACGTGAGGATTACGTCCCTGCAGACAGTGGCGTAACTTTGTTATAAAAAGTGGGTGGGACATGTGTATAAATGAATGAATCACGTGACACGTGAATAAAAACATATATCCGACTTTACAACATGTCCAGTGGAATAGCCAATGCTATAGGCCTAAAGTCCTGTAAAATTAAACGAATAAATTGACCTAATAATATGAATAAAAATTATATAATCAAAAATATGCATAAAAGTAAATTAATAGGCTATTAGGCCAGAATTTTGATAACTGATTTTTTGCGGAACGCGCACGATTAAAATTTAAATTGGCTTTTAGCCTATCCATTGTAGGCCTACACACAAACTGCCGTACAATTAAACGAATAAATGGGCCTAATATAAATAAAGATAACAAAATAAGTGTATAAACAAAAATGTAAAAAATAAAGGCCTACATAAACATTTTAAAAGTAAATTTAAAAAGTAAATTAACTATTAGGCCAACATTTTGATAACTAAACTTTTGCACAGCATGCACAAATAAAATAAAATTATGCTTATCAATTGTACAAAAAAATGCTGTAAAATTAAACGAATCAATGGGCTTTATTATATACAAATAAAAATATAGCCTACAGGCTATAGTAGGCTACATTAACGTTTTAAAAGTATGCTAAATGAACTATTAGGCCACAATTCGTATAACTGAACTTTTGCGCAGAGTGCACATGGATTAGGCTACATAGTGCATTATGGATATACAATTTAAATGGGTTACATTGTCAAACTTTTAGAAAGAAAGAAAGAAAGAAAGAAAGAAAGAAAGAAAGAAAAAGAAAGAAAGAAAGAAAGAAAATTAATTGCTTTCCTTATCTACAGTTCTTTTGAGTTCACCTTCAAGAACACAAGTTTGGACAATATCTGAGGCTTCAGACTCCGGTTGTTGCGGAGAAAACCCTCTCTGCCCTTGCACTTGCAGACCCCCTTGGGTTGCTGAACACAGTGCGAGCTAGGCGGGGAAAAGAAAGACGTGGAGTCAGACTCGTGGTGTGAGCGGAGCGAAATTGGAGCGGGAAATAGGGCGACGCTCCGTCCTTCAAAAAATGCCCCTCTGCGCTCTGTCCAAGATCCACCCGCTCGCGCTCCCCACTCGCTCCTGCTCCACTCCGCTCATATGCTCTACACCGGAATGAACAGTCTCCGAAACAGTCTCCGAAACGGATTGAAGCGCGCATGCATGCGTGTGAGCCACGAGATACACTGTAACCGCGCCACCGATCGCAGGCGGCAAGGAGCACTTTGATTACTTGATTTAAAAAACAACGTATTTCAGGGCTAGATCGCTTCTTTTATTTTACAAACGAACGAAATGACTGGTCTGCCAGTTGGATATGTTTTATTTATTTCTACTGTTAGCTATCCGTGCCGCGAGAACTTTTAAAAAGTGGTGGGGACAATATCGACCCTGGCAAAAAGTGGTGGGGACATGTCCCACCCGTCCCACCCGCAAATTACGCCCCTGCCTGCAGATCATCTGTCCATCATCGTATAAAGCCCGCCCTGGCAATCAGATTGGCCCGTTAATTTTTTGCCTGATCATAATTACTCCTCAATGGATCGAGTCTAGACCGAACTTCCAGACCAAAAAATGTTGTGGGCGGAGTTCGGGCTGGCATCCAGGCTAGCTCAGCGCAGCTTCTAGGTCTCCAATGTCAATTTTTTTAAAATATGTGAAATGTTTGTCACTGTTATTGGAGGTGTCAAAGAATAGAGAGTCTTGTAGTACTGCAGTGCTTTATCAATACGTTTATGCGTTATGCTAACAAACAATAACTGACTGGGTCTGTCATCTGACCAATCACCGCCGATAAACGTCACGCAAAGGAGTGGTTTGGAAAAATGAGTCGTACGAATCATTTGGGAGTCGGTGAGCAAATCAGTTAAAAATAAATGCATATTATGAGACAAATAAAGTGTTTTTTATCCTTGCATGCATGTTAAACTGTTTTTGGGAACTCCAAGGGGCTCTTTAACTGCCTAATGAAAAAAGAAGCAACTTCACTGCTCGAGATGTTCTCTGTCATAAACTCTTTCCACTTTGTGTAGATGTTTATGCTCGATTTTTTTGTCAGTCTTTCTGACTTATTCAGACCTATTCTGCTTCTTCGATTGTAGGTACTCCGCTGCTAAAGCAGTTAAAGGGTTAGTTCACCCAAAAATGAAAATTCTGTCAGTATTTACTCACACTCAGGTTGTTCCAAACCTCTATGTGTTTATTTGTTCTGCTATACACAAAAGAAGATATTTGGAAGAATGTTTTAATCAAACAGATCTCATTCTCCATTGACTGGTAGTCAATGGGGAATGGGGAAGGTGAACTAACCCTTTAATGCAGGGACGTGCACAGGAATTTTGAGGGGCAGTTGCTCTGACCTGAAAAAAGGGCACCCCCCCTCCCCCTCACGGGCTATATGAAGGAATATATTCAGTTGAATTTGTCACCTTCCAAATTGCCTTATCTGGCCGTGTTTATGTCCAAACGCAATGCCTCATCTTATGGTCTTATTATTATTTATAAAGATTGCAAAATGTCAGAGATGAGACAAATGAGCAAAAGAGTTCCTCATATTGTTGTTTATTGTTTTTTTAAATTATTATTATTTATTTATTTATTTGAAAAGAAATAATCTGGATTGAATGGAAAAACTCAAAAAAAGAAAAAACGTTTAGATTTCGGGAAAAAATACAATCCTTTTTTGCCAATCCTGACCTCCCCCTGGGGCCCTAAGCAAAATTCTGCTATGGGGCCCTCTACCTGATCTGTGATGCCGTGAGCCATGTAAACCATTTGCCATTGCCACTCAATACCGCCCAATACAATCCTCCCTCCTTTAAACAAAACAGTCAAAGAACAAGTACAACAATACAGAACAGAATGAGGTTCAAACAAACAATATTTACTCAATAAAGCGTTTTTATAGAATGTTAAGATAACAAGTGAATATTAACGTAAACATAAATAAGAAGAAAATAATAAAGTACAACCCTGAACTTTGGCTTTTGGGATTAACTTTGGTTCTCTCTACAGCCAGGGTATTTTTCGGAATCAGTAGCCTATGATTTTTATTTATTTATTTTTTTTATGCATGTTGAAGCAAATCTTGATTTATTGTTATTCACTGAGGGATTTGCATTCATATTGACCAGAATGTCCAGCTAATCATCATTTTAAATTCAATATAGCCTATAAATCAATAGTCAATCAATGTCAAATTGCCAATACATTGGTTTCTTGCATAATTAGTGCAGTTGTTTAGAGTTTTTAACTACACTGAGACTAGATAATCAGTGTCTTTATAATGTGTACTTTGATTGGGAGTGCCATCATTCACGTATTGTACAGTATTTCTGGTCTCCACATTTCTGCTTGAAAAATGCGAGTTTCATTTCGTGCACGCGCATATGAACGCAACACACGCGACGCGGTTATGTTTTCCGAGCTGTAGTAAACAAACACTGTTGTTGCACTTTGTCGTTTATCAAAAACAAAACGTAATAAATAATGGTATTTTACTCTCACTTTTGTCAGGCAAAAAGTGATGCAAGAGATGCACTGCCTGCCCATAGGTTAGCAAGACCAAAAACCATCAAACTTTGCTGACATCAAACTAGAGAGGAGAGAACACAAGTTTACCTGACTGCTGTTCCCGCAATTCACTCTCATGTTTTTCTTCTTCCTCTTTTCGTGACGAGAAGGATAGTTTTGCTTCATTTTGTCATGGACTTCGTACACATTAATTAGCGCGCGACACGAGATGGAGGCGCGGCCTGAGTAATTTGCGGTGCCTTGGGTCGCGTGAGGCACTGCAGCCACGTAAACAGTTTGACTTTCCCTTTCAGTGCCCGAATGGAAGTAAATGAGGCTTTGCGATTTTTATATTATTTTTTTGTCTAGGCCTACGTGAAATTTTACATACATTGTACGATTTTTTTTTTCCTCGGAAGGGCAACCTGAGTCGAGAAGGGCATATGGGCAGTTGCCCGGGCAACCTGAGCAACCCCCCTGTGCACGTCCCTGCTTTAATGTCTAATTGTTGCTCTTCACATCACCAATCAACACTACGCTACTAGTGTATCTGTAGGCGGGAGCCAATGAGTGCGCTTAGTGAAACATCACGGGCCAAATTCCACATATTTGGCTCGCCACTTGGTGGAGTATGTCCACTGTTGTGGTTGATGTGCAACTATGCAATCAACAACCATGCATACGCAAGAAAATGGCTTTTTGAATAGCTGTGTACTGTAGTGACCTCTATGCTTGAAAGGGTTAAAAAAACTAAAATAAACAAACCAACAAAAAAAACATTATGACTAGAGCCTACAGTCTTCAGTGGGGAAATGTTCCTTTGCATGAGATTGCAGGGATTCCTACTGAAATGACTGCATTTCAACAGCAGAATTTCGTCGTACTTGTACAAAGGTGTAAAACTTTAGAACCAAACTACTGAATTCACGCTTAAAGACTCCAATGAAGGCTGAAGTGTGGAGGTTTGGCTGGTTAATGTGACCTAAATCAGGCCCTGGATGTCATAACTACACCATCTGGCTGCAAAATGCATCCATTCTCCATTCATATGTAGGTCAATCTCTGTCATAAGATTATTCTTTACAGATGGGCCTACATTTGAATGGAGAATGGATGCAGACAGATTTTTTTTCTGCAAGCAACATATAAATCATATAGTAGATATGTTACTAGTGCCCTTTTTGAGAGCACCTAACTCTTTCCCCTCCAGAGTCCAGCATTTTTCTAAAAAGTTGTCAGCCAGAACCAGCGCCATGCATTTTTGATCATTTTCACAAAATTCGCATGGCCCCCAAAATAGTTTCCTGAGTGAATATCCGAACATGCAATACATCAAAAGAAAGAAGAAAGCATCTGCTTAAAAAAAAATATTGTCAAGGACTAGGCCTAGGACCATACGTCAAAATTGGATTCAGTAGTAAGTTATGCTATGATGATCAAAACATACCGTATCGAGTCCATCAACACTCCCAAAGCTTGCACAGCCCTATAGCTCGTCCTGGGTCCACATTTCATTCGGTAACAATAGGCAGTTTTGATTTATATTGCTGTTTAATGTTGATGCTCGCATTATGCATGTTCGTTTTCTGCGTCTTCTTTGCCTGTTTTTTAATCTGGAGATACTGTACTAATTTAAAAGATGTGTAATAGCGCCGCCTACCGACCGTAAAACTATGGAAACCTGGTGGAAACACGTCAATGACGGGGGAAAGAGTTAAAAGTATGAAATGTATTTATTTTCAACCTGTTTCCTGCCTTTAAACATCACAATTCACGACAGTGGCTAATAAAGGACAAGTTGAGCAACTGCCGTTGAAATGAATGGGAATGCTAACAAGTAGGCTACATTCTTGGTCTCAGAAACCAGGAAGCATTAGGAGAAACACATCAAAAAGATCTGAGGTTGGATGAGAGAGTTGAGTAGGTTTGAGAAGGAAAGTCAGGCAATGGAGTGCTAAAGCTTGAAATAGCAGTTTGAATGCCTTGAGTCTGCACAAGTTGATCGTAAATGCCAGCCTAAAGCAACTGCACATGAAACAGAGAGACAGAGAAGATGGTAAGACAGTTGGACAGGAGAAAAACAAGGTCACCATTACAGTCTGTGACCTTTGACCTAACCTGTTTTACTAGCAGACTTTCAGTTTAAGCTGAAATCTGTGACAGAGGTCAGCAGGTGCCTAGGGGTGTCGCTTGTCTGTGCATGTGTCTTCTGCTCACTGTCTCATGTTTATTAAGATTTGATGAATGAGTCTATCTATTAAAAACATGTTGATACAACTTGTGGTGCTTTTGGTGTCTTTGTCAACTCATCTATAGTGCTGGCGTAAAGACAGAAGCAGACAAATACAAACAAGCACGATTTTTAGAGACAGATAATTAAGGCTGCTATAAAAAAAAGAGATATGAATGAGATTGAAGTAAACAACAAATGCGATACAGGAGAAGGGCTGAAGGAAAAAAGGCGTGAGCAGCACATTCATCTTCCTCTGTCTCTGCTTCCCTTGTTCAGGCTCTTCAAAACAACAGCTGGAGCTCTCACAGGTGTGTTTTACTTGCTGAAAGCTGAAACATATAAGCTGACTTTGCACGCACACACACACACACGCCAGCATGCTGATGCAGCAAACACACACCACTGTTTTTCAAGAGTTCAGCAAACAAAAGTTTATTACATACAACATTTATTTGTATCATGTACAGACTACAAGACATATCTTAAGTCACAATTCAAAATGTATGTTTTACAAAATTTCGAACAAAATTCTGTAAAACACGCATGATGCTGGAACTATCTTCACTTCTCTGAGCCTTTTTGTTGCAGATTTTATATAATGCAGTGTAATGTCGCATAATGTTGTACTGTAAGTTGATTGAACTATAAAAAGTGAGTTAATACAATGGAGATAAATTTAATCATCAGAAACTCAAAATAATAAGTCATCTCAACTAAATAAATTATTTAAGTTGATTTGACAAAAGAAAAAAATGTTGTGATAACAAATCTTGAAAATATTTTTTTACAGTGATCAGACAGTCTCTAACAAAACAAAGACATTCATGAGCAGAATTTATGATGCATTCTCTGACGTGCATAAAAACAAAAACTAATCATTGTTCATGTGTTCATCTGAATGACTGAAAAAGTCACTGAGAAAATGCATATTAGCAACCTAGACAGGTTTAAGGTGGTGTGTATGTTTGTGTGCGTATCCCAGAGACAGTCTCTGATGCAGGAACCAGTGGTATCCTGTTTTGCAAAAGACTCCCATTGTTGCGTTGATTAAGCATACACACTCCCACACGTACACACAACACCACAGCTACTGCACTGTTAGTGATGAGAACAGAGCAAAGTGTCCGAGATCAATCAGATGTGATTCATAATAAACGCATTTGCCCGGATGCCTTCACACAATTGTCCCATCAAGAAACACTGGACACCACAGAGCAAAACACACACACACACACACACACACACGAGCATCATGAGTGTTGTCTAGTCTTTCTGTCTCCACATAGCCATCCATTACTCCTAACTGTCCAGGCCCCATCTGTTTATTTATCTGTCTACTGTGTAACAGAGACGGTTTACAGTGTAATTAGGAGTTTGTCATGGCGTGGGCGACTTTCATATAGAGAAATGGCGATGGCCTCCGACCAAATAATTGTAAATTCTATATTCATTTTCTTGCAAATTATGGATTTTTCCTTTATCTCCTTTGATTTAAGGAAATTTTTTTAACTTTAACTTTATTTCAACAGGTTCGTGCATGAAAGTTGCTTTCTGTTTTCAACTCATATGGTTGTATTTTTATTTTAAAGTGTGTTTCTTTTAATGGCACAATTTAAAAAAATATATGCTAAAGGCATAATTATTAACTATTAATAATGGATTTGCATACAGTACACACACACACACACACACACACACACACACACACACACACACACACACACACACACACACACACGCACACACTACATTAAGTGATGTAAGAGCATCAAAAAAGTAGAGAAGAAAACAAAAATACCCCTTAAAACAATAGTTTAATCTGTATAGGCCACATAATATGCTACAATTTTAACATGTCATCGGTTGAATAGAAAAAAAATCACATCATTCAAAAGGTCAGTAAGATATTTTTTAAACACACAGTTCACCCAAAAATGAAAATGAATTTACTCACCCTCAAGTTGTTGTTCCAAACCTATTTCTTTGTTCTGCAGAAATTAAAAGAAGATATTATTAAGAATGTTTTAACAGTTTCCAATCCCCAATGACTTCCAAAGAATTTTTTTGTTTATATTATGGAAGTCAATACAGGTTTAGAAGAGGGTGTGTATACTATAAATGAAGACAGAATATTCATTTTTGGGTGAACTATCCCTTTAAAGTCTCTTATCACCCGGTCTACATTTATTTTTTAAAACAAGTAAATACAGTAAAAACAGTAATCATGTGACATTATATAAAACTCAGTTTTGTTGATGGTTTTAAAAAATGCTAAAATATATATATACTACATTATACAGTAGCCTACTAGTAAAAAGTTTGGACACTTAATCTCACCAAGCCTGTTTACGTACAAAAATAGAGTAAAAAAAAAAAAAACACTGTGAAATATTATTACAATTTAAATCAACTGTTTTCTATTGCAATATAACATTTTAAAAGCTAATATGTTTACAAAAATAGCTGCAAAAGGGGGGTGCAACCACAAAAAAACAAAAATTCTCGGGCCAGCAGCATGTGTCCAAATTTCAATCTTAACCATTCTATTTCATCAGAAACGATTTTAAAACAGGGCTTTAAGTGTAAAATACCGAACTTGACCATTAAAAACCCTTTGACCGGTACTGTTTGACAAGCTTATTTATATTTACAATCAAAACTGTACATTAGTTTGTTGCATTTCCCCCGCTGTCTGTGACCCTCTCACTATCACAGCAGAATGGACATGACCCATTTTGGTTTGAAAACCACTAATCTTCTTACATGTTAACATTTACACAAAAAGCATTTAGACAAACATGGCTGAAGACTAAAAAGTGCTTTTGTCTTCATGCGTGAGACTGCCATAGTCATCATTGTTTCTCTCACAAAAGAGGTTTGCCAAACACTAATTCTTTCAAAAACACACTCTCCTGATGAACAATCACCAGCCACAATCCTTTCCCCCTTTCATGTCTTTCTCTGAGAGGCAGGCAGGAAAAACATGTAAAGACTCCATACAGGCACTGAGAAACAGCAAACACATGGTTCTCACTCGCTCATGTTAACCAAGGCCAACTGCAAACAACACACACACTCAAAAACACAGAGAGCTCTACAAAACCAAACACCTAATAGCGGGAGATAAAAGTGCTGTTATTTCCCACAGAAATTAAAATGTCTATCAGTACGCGTTACGCCTCGGCTTTTGTATTTTAGTTTTCATTGCTCACAATCAGTGCTGATCCTCTTTGAGACCAGAACAAAATCCTCTCACATTCCCCTGCTAAGCTCTCATAACTTCTTCTCGCAGTCTCAACCAAATATAGAAGGCTATGTTATATAAAAATTTATTTGAGCCATTTTGCCCCACAGAAACAACACAGAAAGAACATCACCCCAAATCCCCTCTGATGTAATATACAACGTTGCATAGGATATAAAATAGTACAAAGAAACAAAGACATTTCAGATTAATGTAAAACCATACAACACAGAAGCCATAAACAATACAACAAGTATAAAAATCAACATAATGACCATTTTTATTCACAAAGCCAAAGTCTTGAAGACTTGAAAAGACTACCGAATGATGTACAGTAAGACCCAGAGTTATTTCCCGTCACAGACCAAACCTGTTTACCATATGCAAGACAACATGGACTGCATACGATTTTCATCTCAACATCTAATGGGATACGAATATGTAATTTAGTGAATTAGACAATTATTCTTCTCCATATCCTGCCTGTCACCACAACTCACATGATTAAAGCCATCAGATTTTGTGCGACTTTGGTGTTCTCTGAAGGCTTATTGTAAAGTATATGGTGCTCTGACAGTGAGAACGATTAGAGAAAAAGAGCTTTCAACTACAAAACAAGAACTGTGAACACTGAACAGATGTGTGCAAGATTTCCTATTTCCTGTAATCTCTGAGACAGATATTCTTAATCCAACGGCATTCAGTCAGACAAATGTTCTGTTTCTACACAAAGTTTCATTTGGAGTTAGACGCGCGGGATTAAATAGCTGCCAAACTGCCATTTGGACACAATTAAGAATAATATTATAATAAGGTAGTCTATGATTAATGAGCGATTCTGTAAACACTACATGTACTGTATTTAATGTGACAGTTTCCAAAAGGCCACTCAGAACTGTATGTAGCCTACCCAAGATACAAAAAGACACCTGCTTAATATTAACACATCGTATCAAAAGAAAGGGCTACAACAGGAAATGTTTGAGCTCATGTTTTGGGGTGTGTCATGTTTGCAGCTTTCAACACTTATTAACTAAGAAATACCTGCCAAACAAACTCAGAGAATCCTCATCCAAATAAGGATCAACCAACACTTTCACTCATTTTCAATTTAAAAATGTACCAGAAATGAATGTACCGTCTGCCATTATTTACTCGTCCTCATGTTGTTCCAAACCTGTATGACTTTATTTTCTTTCAAAGTCTGAGGACACTTCCAGGCAGCACAAAGAAATTCTGAGGAGATTATTTTCCATCCAACTACAAAGAATAGGTACAGGAACTTTCAAGTCATAAATGTATTAAAAAAATAGATCTAAACGATATAAGATAGTCTGATAATCTTAGTGAGCTTAAGAACCGGATCCATCATATGTATGATCCAGGATCGAACTAAAAGCTCCAGTACCAATTCTTTGAAATTGCATGGGAAAAAACACTGTCCTCTTTTTGGGATCAGAAATAAAGAAATACAGGATTGGAATAATAGGTACATTCAGATTTTTGTTTTGGGGTGGGGAGTAACATTCCTTTAATTAAAGAGATATTTCACTTTATATTTCATTAAAAAAAAAGATCTCATCATTCAAGTCATCATTTACTTACCCTCATGTTGTTCCAAGCCTGTATTACTTTATTTCGTCTGTGGAAAAATAAAGAATAAATTCTGAAGAATGTTGGTAGCCAAACAGTTTTGGTTACCATTGACTTCCAATGTCTATATCTTCTTTTATGTTCCACTGATGAAAGAAAGATTTGGAACAACAACATGACAGTAAATGGTACCAGCAATATCATTTTTTTTTTTTTTTTGCTAAACTATCCCTTTAACTAAAGACAAAGATAAAGTGAAAATAGTCATCACAGAATTTACAGTGGCAGTTTCACTAGATGTTTGAGTTCAGAAGGTATCATGATAGTCTGATACCAAAAAAAAAAAAAAAGCCAAGAAGCTCTTCTGGCTTGGATAACAGAAAGTGGCGAAGGCACTTAATTAGATTCAATGTAAATTCCCTCTCAGACTTGGATGAGTTTATAGGTGGGCTTGTTTGTAATGACAGCTCCAAACCACCAGAAAAGGAAGAAGCGGATGAGGCTAGTAAAGATACCAGGGGTGTTGGGTACCTGAAAAACAAACAAAAAAAATGTGACAATTTTTCCTTTACCTCAAACCACTGTCTCGGGACAGTCTCTTCATCGTCTTACCATGATATAATAGTCTTGGAGCTGAAGGCCATACAGCGTCCATGATGTCGATGTGAAGAACGTAGCAACAGTCAGGGAAAAAGACAACCGCTCCACAGACCTCGTTCGCATAATATCCAACTAGTGGAAATGAAGAACACAAATTATTTTTAATTTTTTTTTTTGAGAGAGAGAGGAGAAAGATGCTTTTGCTACTTTTTATTGATTAAAAGTAGAGAATTGAAACATGATGCAGGCAGGACTCAAACTGGTGTCTTCTGCTTCAGCACCTAGGATCAGTAAATCTGGAGCACATGTGCTCACCACTGCGTCACAGCTCAAACCAGAACTGGTTATTTACACTCACGCATTGTCTCTCCTTTAAAAACTGCTATTGATGCTCGCAGACAGGAGGGAATGATTGAGGCAAAAACAGGAAGCAACAAAAGTGGGTACGAGAATGACAGGAAATACACCACAGGGAACAGGACAGATAGACAGAGCTGGACTGATAAATAGGGAAAGATCCAAAACAGGAAGATGGATACTGCGAGAGGGCACAGAAAAGAAGGATGGATGGAGTGATAAACAAAAGCTGGAATGCCGGAATGATACCAAAAAACAAGATGAGGACAAATGTACAATTATTTTAAGAGTTGATGTATGCTTTATGCAATATGTAATGGTGTCACAGATAACATAAATGTATGCAATAATGTTTAACTTTTAATATGTAATATTTGTTGATGCATGCAATTAAATAAGTTTATATTCATATATATTCAGGTGCATATATTCTGGGAATGTCCCAAAGTATAAGTGTATTGGCAGGGGATTAAAAGGGAAATTAGTAAAGTTTTAGGAATAGATGTATCAATGTAACCATTTTTTTTTTTTTTTTTTTTTTGCTTGTTGGTTTCCCCAGTTTAGTAAATCCTACTTATTTGTATTACATAATGGCAGCCAGGAAGATAATCACTGTGAACTGGATAAAGGTGCATGAACCCACTGTTACAGAATAGACACAAAGACTGATAGACTGAGATATATATATATATATATATATATTTGAAGAAAAAAAATGACTGCAGTTTTGTAGTATCAGTTCTTTTTTGACAGAAGCGGGCACTTATTGAAACATTTGCTTGAAGGAAGATAATGTCCTGGTATGTGGTGTATTTATTTAATGAAGTGCTTTAACTTTATATTTTCTTTAATTTTCTTATTCATTTATTCATTTCTTTAATTATCTTAATTTTCTTTGTTTGTTTCTTTAATTTTCATGTTATGTAACAGTGTTTTGATTTAAAAAAAAAAAAAATAATACAGTTTAAAAAAAAAGTTTTATTATGTTGTGGTATTCCTGTCATTTTTATATAAATCTCAGGCTTTATTTTTTCAAAAACTTATTCTTCATTATTAGTCTTTTTTTCCATAATGTTTTTATGTTTGTTATATTGTTTATTTAAAGCTGCAGTCAATAGATTTTTTGGGGTTAAAAATTATCCAAAATACATATTTGAGAAAATATATAAGCAGCCAGTGTTCAACACTATCTGCTTGCCTTAGCTCGATTCAAAGCGATAAGCTTGTAATAATGTTTTTTTACTCCAGTGGCACTGGTGGATTAACGTGGGAGATTCGAGCATGTATTTGTGTCATTACGTCACATCTATACATATAAAGAAGGAGTCTCGGCTAGTATAAGCTATATTGCGTGTGAGGATGTTGGAGGTGGAGATTTACAGCCTTTTCTCACAGCACATGATATAATTAAACATCAATTTGATGGCGGATCCAGAAAGGTTCAAACGACAATCACCAGTGACAACTAGAGATTCACCCACTGTAGAATGCAAAAGACTTCAGAGTGGCTACAGAAAAAAAAAAGAGTCTTTACATGTAGTCACGCAATGCTGATGTTGTTAACATTAACAATTTGAGAACCAAAAATAATTAGCACGGTTTTTCATGATATGATAACTTATAAGCGATTGTTAGATTTAATCAGCGCGATTTACTGCAATTTCAGAACCAGAACAAAAGTGGATGTTACGTTCAGATGACATTTTCCGGTGAAAATTATTATGTTGGTCATACTTTCAAAAAAGAACAGTCTGTGATTCTGAATGCCATCCACATAGTCTCCTCAAATATTGTGTTCATCCGCGTTGTGCCATGTCGAAGGTGTTGAAGTACAACTCACGTAAAGTTGATTATTCCGCGAATGACTGCAATTGCAGGTTTCAGACAGAGATGGCGACAAAGAGAAAAAACTGCGGACTGCAGCTTTAAGTAAAACATTTACATAAAACTGTACATAAGTAAAGATTGACATAAATTTAATCTGTCATTTACTTTGTCATGTGCGTCATTGACAGTCCTGGTAATAGGCAACTAGACTTCTAAATATGTTCTTTATGTGCTTTACGGCAATGTATTTCTATGTGCACTGGACATTTTGTTTTGTTTTTTATCTTTCATTTTGCACTGTCCTTGTTTTGCCCTGAATGTCTCTGACTTCTGTACCACGGCACTACATACCGTTTCATGTGTAAATCCAAGATTATGTCTAAAATTTGATGTAAAATATAAAGTACAGTCAGTACATACATTGTAAATTCAGTAAATACATACTTTAACAAACAGATAGGACATCCTATTATTGCATTCAGACCGAACATGTTGTGGCCCTGAGACTTCTTCAGAAGATGTACATTTTTTAATATTTAGACCACATCTATTATTGACTGCCATCAGGATGTGAAGAAGGTTTCAACCAGTTTAATAAAAAGCATATTTAAAAACATTGCCTACCCTATTTTTAAATACATGCAGGTACATGCCTGTGGTTTAAACATGATTAATGCTGATTATAGGCATAGGTGTGTGCGTGTACTCACAAGATCAGTGAGCGGAGAGAGGTACATGCTGATGGTGAACACACTGCAGGCGAGGCCCAGCTGAGACAGTTGAGCTTCTCCAGGAGGAATCACCATAGTAAAATACACCCAGCCCACACACAGCACAATCACCATCACCAGTGTCTGTGAGAACACTCGCCTCTGAAACACACACAGGTACAGCATACCTTAGAAAAATGTTCATCATATTTGTTCTATACAATGGGTTTCAAACGACTGGGTTCACATTATAAAAGCTGGGATCCAAATTCCATTTTAAAGGGATACCGTTTTTTTCATATTAAACTATGTTATTCCCTTAACTAAGACGAGTTGATGCATACCTCTCTCGTCAATCGCTTTGGCGCGCGAGACACTTTGAAAGCACTTATAGTGAGGAAAATAAGTATTTGAACACCCTGCTATTTTGCAAGTTCTCCCACTTAAAAATCATGGAGGGGTCTGAAATTGTCATTGTTGGTGCATGTCCACTGTGAGAGACATAATCTAAAAAAAAAAAACCCAAGAAATCACAATATATGATTTTTGAACTATTTATTTGTATGATACAACTGCAAATAAGTATTGTGTCCACCTCCACTCCATTTAGATGCATCTGTTTGAGATTGTTACCCCATACAATCAGTAATAATCCAACTACTAACATGGCCAAGACCAAAGAGCTGTCCAAAGACACTAGAGACAAAATTGTACACCTCCAAAATACTGGAAAGGGCTCCGGGGAAATTGCCAAGCAGCTTGGTGAAAAAAGGTCCACTGTTGGAGCAATCATTAGAAAATGGAAGAAGCTAGTTTTTTTAGATTATGTCTCTCACAATGGACATGCACCTACGATGAGAATTTTAGACCCCTCCATGATTTCTAAGTGGGAGAACTTGCAAAATAGCAGGGTGTTCAAATACTTATTTTGCTCACTGTAGCTTAGCCAAGTTTATTCAATAGGGGCCAAGCAGAGAAGCAACCAAACACCTCCATGTTTTCCATATTTAAATAGAGTTACACGAGTAGAGTGACTCGACCAAGAATGGCGACACAAAATAAAACGTTACACTTTTCTAAGTGTGTAAAGTGGATAACTATAATGTATGGCGGAATACCTCAGCAAGAGCTTGGGAGGACTTCGACTCGGTGTAGTAATATCATCACTCGTGAAAAATCCTCTCCCTCTCCAGAGTGATGATATTACAGCGCCGACTCCATAGATATCCACCTTATTCCTACGCCCATTACACTTTGCGCAAATTATGGGTGTAACTTCTGTTAAGCTGTAAACAATCAGTGAAAGGCTCGCTCTATGAACGCAATACGTTAAAAAAAGTGTCATTAATCGGCTCACAATTCAACCATCGAACATTAAAATAAAATGTAAAAGTTTTAAAGAATCAACAGGTACTTTCAACAGACCGAAAATAGCCCGAAACAGACCGAAAAGAGTCTTTGGTTAAATATCACTCTAGGCAAATATCTGTATTGTACAACAAGCCTTAATCAAAAATGTTCATTAACTTCAGCATTACGTGAATATATAAAAGTGATTCCCGTCATTTTGACAGATAAATTGCATTTACCTGTGAAAACAAACCTGGAAAGGGACATGAGGATTTGAGGAGAATAAGGAGATATTCTTTGTGCATTCCAGTGAATTATTATTGGAATATCGTAAATTAAATTCGGGAGAACAGACCACAAATGTGCCGTATATGGTGTCATTTTTCATACTTTTACAGCGGATTACAAAGGAAAAAATAAAAATCATCACGAGGAAAAGAAAGCAGCGACTGAAAAGAGCTTTTGCCATAGATATTCATATTCTTATTATAACATGTCACGTTAAAATACCAAGTATAACGTTATTCTCATGATGTCTGAAAATAAATCATGAAGGAAAATTGACAGCTCATCCAGATTCATCCAGACAAACTGACGGATCAGCTGTATTTGTAGGGCAACCTTATGATTTGAAATGATTCGTTTTAGCCTTTTTAAATGGAAGTTCCCCAAACCGGAAGTGCCACCCAAAATTCAAAACGCAGTAAGGTCGTCAGGAATAAGGTGGATATGTGCACCGAGTCGAAGTGCTCCCAATCACTTGCTGTGGTCTTCCGCCATACATTATAGTTTGCAGTTTACACGCTAAGAAAAGTGTAGCGCTTTATTTTGTGACACCATTCTTGGTCGAGTTACACTACTCGTGTAACTGTATTTAAATAGGGAAAATGTGGAGGTGTTTGGTCGCTTCTCTGCTTGGCCCATATTGAATGAACTGGGCTAGTGCAATCAAAGTGTCTCGCGTGCCAGAGCGATTGAGTGCACGCACTGAGATGAGAGTGGTATGAATCAACTCGTCTAAGTTAAGGGAATAACATAGTTTAATATGAAAAAAAAACGGTGGAGTATCCCTTTAAACCTGAAAATAAACTATGAAGATACTTTACATAATTTATATGCTGATAATATAACCTGTAATAACAATATTTAATTCATTTTTATAAAAATTGACTTTTTACATTTTTAACAGATTGGTATTCTAATAACATAATTTGTAATCAAAAATACTGAATTAACTTTTAAATTAAACTTTGCACTCAAGTTGTTAAGTTGACGATATCGTGTGCAATTATAAATATAAAAATAAAGTCAAACCGTTATTCTGCTAATGTAATAGACGATAAAAATATTGCATTTATTTTTTTCTTTTCACCTTTTTAATCAAACTGTTATGCTGGTAATTTAATTTGTAATTAAAATATTGTATTAAATTAGATAAAAAGGTAAAAAGAAGCCAGAGGTCTTGAACTCCGACCCTACTGTAAAATCCATAACACTGACTAAATGACAAACCTTCTCTTTGGTATAATGACAATAGGTGATGATGTATAAGGTCTGTAAAGTTGCCCCAATGACGTTTACAATAATCACTGTTCCATCTCCCTTCAGTAATCCATAGTAAAGCCAACCTAGATTACTAAAAACACACACAAAATGATCATTCAGACTGAACGGACTTGCATATGGATTTCAATGCATGATGACCATTGCATACATGAAGTTGTATGCAATAACTAGCAAGAACTGCAGGTGTCAAATAGAAAATACATACTTTAAGCATGTGGTAAGGAAGGGCAGAAACTGAACGTTATCTGAACACTGTGTGGCCTTCATTTTCTTCAAGTCTGTCCTGCAAACACAAAAACAGTATAAACTTACTGGGATAGCAAGCGGATACAACAGGTTATGCAAAATGTCATTCAAATGCTCAGCCTCCAAATGTTTATATGCTCAACTTACAAATGCAAACATATAATGAAGATGTTAAAAATGCAGTATGGTTTCAGGAAAAATACTATAATTACTAGTTATTGTTAACCATGTAAAATCTTAATGTGAGCTCTTCTTGCAAACAGTGTTGGCTAATATGAAGGTTTGCTGTTGTACCAATAATTATAGTAGCCTATGTTCGAAGAAAGTAACATTGAATTTGAATTTGTGCGAAGGCAGCCACTCTCTTAGGAGAAACAACATTATAGTTTCAACCATAGAGTTCATAAATAAAATTTTAATATATAACTTTGTTTATTCAAAGTATTTTAATTAATTTACAGAATACTCTGTATGCGTGTACATTTAACTGTCGAATATGATTTGTCATATCAAGCAACTGTAGAAATTGAAGTAACTTACAATCCCGTCGTGAACATCCCGACGGTGAATATGATGCACGCACATGATAGCAGCTGCAGAAAATCCATAGACTGAAAAATCGAAAATTGAGCTGTGCTGTGCTTCTGTACCCCTGTGCTATCAGGCAAATAAATTATATTTACAAAACTTAGTATCCAACACTAATGCAACGCTGACGTCCACTTTCTCTGTTTCCGTGTTTGTAATCAGTGTGAACAGCTTCCTTCACTGTGATTGGTTATTCACAGAATGATGCTCCTATCGTCATTTTGTAGTCCGGTTGTGTAGTTTATTTTATTTTATTATTATTATACAGAATTCAAGTAGCCTACAAAAATGCATGGCATACTTCAACGATCATATGATTTTCGTGTTGATACAAAATTCTGAAGAAAACAAAACAAAACAAAACAGAACAACACACACACACACACACACACACACACACACACACGGTAAGGGTGATTGTCCAAAAAGCCCAAAGCAGAAAGTTTAATTGCATTTTAATGGAATTAATGACATTCTGTCATCAATTTAAGAGATTTTGCAAATAGCTTCAAATCATTCTTCCAGAGTCCAGTTATGTTGTGAGGCGTACAGTGATTCTAGTTTGTTTGTAATATATGAGAGATTTGTGAGATTTAAAAGAGATTTTTGTGATTTAAAACGCTGTCGTTTTTAAAAGTACTCTGTGCAAAGCACAATCGCTTTCTGAAATAAATTGGTTTCAGCACTCCGGTGCTTCGAAAAGTGTTTTAACTCATGAAAATAATTATAAAAATAATTATAGAAAAAAATATTATTGGAATTATATAATTATTGTATCTTTATTATAACCCATACAAAGTGAATTAAACATAAACAAACTAATTATGATTAAATAATGATTTATATCACAATTTCATCCCTTATGGAAATGTTTTGTCTGCAAAGAGCATGCTTGAGATTAAATGAAAAATAATTTAAATTAAAAAATCAAATAAATTAAAATCAAATAAATGAATCAAATGTATTATGTAATTTAGTTGAAATGTGCAAAAAGTGTGAAATTTTTCATTGTAGGATACATAAATTGCAAAGTATGGAAAAGACCAAAGAGTACAAAACAAGACAAAGGAGATTATTATTTTATTTTCAAAGACAAAATGACCCTTTCAGAATTATATATATATAAGTCAAATATAATAAATGTCAAAAAAAAAAAAGAAAAAAAGTTGAGACTGCCAAGAAAAGTTACTTCCTGGCACCCAAGTGCCACTTTTCTTTCATTCATCTCAACCCCATCTGAATGTTTGTTTAAAAGCTGTGAAGTCCTGGCCAAGAAGAAGAGATGAAAAGGGAACGAAAGAGGACAGGAAGAAAGTTTGATGGTGGTGTTTTGACAGTGTTAAACTTTACTCTGTGGCCTCAACTGCACATAATTTGTCTTTGCTGCTCCAAAACTTTGTTTTCTTTGAATCAGTTGAACAATATTTATAAAAAAAAAAACATTCAACACAATTTCATAATTAACAAATGTCTTTATTTTATATAACTCTTAATATGTACATTTTTACACAACCATTTACAAGTTTATAAACCAATACAAGTACAAAATAACTTTTTACAAAAGAAATTGTTTTTTTTTTAACTTATTTGAAACAATTCATTGAACCGTTTTAAATTGTTTGTGTATGTCATGCTCTCTGTCAGAAGGCCAGCTTCTCTCACTCTTGCGCTCACTCACAAACAGCACAAATGATCCTTCCTGTTCAAAACCAAATGTTGTGTTATGAAATAAACAAATCTGATCTCATCTATAACATTATTCCAGAACATTGTGTAGGGTGTGTTCACATTACATCACAGAAACCAACTGAAACTACAGCAACACGAGATCTAAAACACAGGAAACTGTTCGATAGCTGTTCTAGATTTACAAACACTGTTATATGCATGAACATCAATTCTTTATAAGGTGCAAGGTCAGGGTCAGCTTTAAGAAAAATCCTGTGATCTTTGGCTCAAATCAGTACAGTAGAGCAAAGGTCTCTATCAAACACAATATCTAGCCTATTGTTCTCCCTTGTGATCTCAATTCCAGTTATCCAGCTGATGGTTACAAGACAAGCACTCCCGACTTTAGGGTTTGTTCTGAATCACATTGGTAAATAGATTTGTGAAGAATTTTCATGAAAAATGAGCACATACGGTCTACAAATGTAAAATAAAAAGAGCTGCTGGAATTATAGAACGGTATATACTCATAAAAAAAGAGAGAAGGTTCTTCAAAAACACCTTTCTCTGGTCACATCACTCTCACGAACACAAATACAAACACGTCACTCAGCAACTTGCACACCAGCACCAAAACTTCAGTTTGTATAAAAATTCTTCATAGAAAATCTATTTTCTGAGCCGGTAACCAGCACCGGCATTAAAGTCTGTTGTGTCCTAACGGACCAGCGTCCATAAAATCTTCTTGTATCAGGCTCAGTGGAGGAGCAGAAAGATGAGTATGGAGATCAACGTGACGAAACTTGAGACGGGAGACACACGAACACCCGAACTGCCCACGCTCCTCTGCACAACTGGGATCATGGCAATAGGGTCATCTGAAAGTAGAGGAGAAGCATGATGAGTACATTTCGTGATCGTGTAACTTGCGTAAAGGCACTCTAACACCTCAGCTTGAAAATAAAAAAAAATTCCACATCTTTTTCTAAAGCAAATGGACACGCTGCCAAAAGCGAGGAAAATAAGTTCTCACCTGCTGGAAGCCTGTTTGATGGGTTATGTACTCCTCCAGCAGCCTTTATTTCCATTTCATCATCATTCTCAACTATCTTTTTCTTGTTCTTGGAACCTAGAACATTAAATGATATAGTTGGACTGTTAGTAAGGCTTCGGTTGTCCTTGTAATCTAGTAAAGATGGCTGAAATGTCTAGTTGGTAAAGCGAAGAACTGATTTGACTTACCATGAGGGCCAACAACATCCACCTTCAGTCTCAAACACTCCTGTCCATGATGGTGAAGAGGTTTGGCTGTGGGAAAACACATGGAAAATTTAGAATTGCAATCTGTAGTAATATATTTGTAAATAATAAATAATTCAATGTGTTATTAAATGCTAAAACGTTCATTTTGTATTTACGTTGGTCTCGTAAGGAAAAGTTTAAATTTAATGACACATGGTGTACAAAGTAATACCTTAGTGTACATAATAAATATTTTCAAAAATTAAAATAATTAAATGTAATAATTTAAATATGCTTTTACAAATATTGTTTCCCAAATATCCTGAATTATTAATGCATAAATATATTTTAGTTTTTGGGGAGTCACGCCACATGACATGATGATGAAGGTCTTCAGGGGTTTTCCTGATTTGTTTTTTTTTTACCAGCACATTATGTATTTTTTTTCTTCCGACTTGTTGGTCAAACAACATGCATTTTGTGTGTGTTGATGCACACAACATCTCACAAATACAGACGTGGATACTTACAAATATAGTAGTAACTCTCTCCCTGGCGGAACTCCTTGCCCAGAGTGAAGGGAGTGAAGCGCTGGAACTTCTCCGAGAACTTCTCTGGAGCGTGAGGAGCGAAAGGTCTGGAACACTCCCAGCGCAGCTGATCGAAGGACTGCGGCTTGCAGTTCTCATAGTCCTCCAGCTCCACCATATAGAGCACGTACCGCTCAGCCTCCTGGGATGGGATCTCGCCCCGTGCGTAGTGAGGGCAGATGATGTCTAGATAGTCATTGATGCGGACATCCACGGTGTAATCATCCCATAGGAAGCTGGAAGAAATAAGAAAAAAATCTATGAATGGCTGTCAACCTTCAAAACACAGACACACCTCACGGCTCAAAAAAGAAACTTGATGTTCACAAACAAACAGAAACATTGACACGAAACGGCTCCAGGCAAGCGTCATCAGTGCAAAGCAAAAGCGAGAGCTACACCCTGATGCACGTGTGTGAGTGAAGTGTGTTCACCCTTCACCTGCTGCTTTTATTTGGGTGAAACACCCTGTACAATCCCTCTTTTCTTTTTCTTTTCTTTCTACTCTGCATTTTGGTGTCACGTTGGGTGAAGGAGTGTTTAGGGAAATTGTTCAACTGTGTTTTTCTTAAAGTCCTCTATGAAAAGATTTCCTTTTAATCCATTTGTCTTATTTGATTTCCATAAGCATTTTATTTTTTTTAAACTATACATTTTTCTGCTCAAGTATTTCACTTAACATTTTAGAATAAACTTGAATTTCCCTTTTTTTATTTTGTCACACAAATATGATTGAGGGGAACCCCATATATATATATATATATATATTACATGTTTACTTTGACAGCCCTAAAATACTTTTTGTTCAAACTTTTTTTTTTTCTGTGAAAATCTTGAAATCCCTTGCCTTTGTGTGATCAATCACAACCTCTTCCTTGTTTTCTTGGTAACAGAGATGGAGCTGCTTAGACTGACTAGCTCTTTGAATTGGCTCTACAAGTTTTCACAGCCTCCTCTCCGTCTGTCTCTCCTTTTATTGTCGTCTCATTTGCTTTTCACATTTTCGTCTGATCTGAGCTTCCCTGCTGATGTTACCAGATGTACAAATGACAAATCCACAGGCCTTTCAGTATGTTGTGCTTTCTATGTCTTTGCTTTCATGTTGTCACTGATTTATTATTGTGAATTTTGTCTCACGTTTCTGAATAACGCAACATATCTGAATAAATCACAATGTTTTTTCCGAAACACTCACCCCCGCTTTGACCATACAATGCCCCGGTTCAAACCACATAAAGTATCTGATTAGCTTTGTGACTATTATAAATTATACGGCATTACATTTCCATATAGCTACCAAATATCATTAAACACAGTCACATAAACATTTACTCACACGGCCCTCACATGAACCGCCCTCATAACACAAGGCGGCCTCTTTCCCCCCAGCATGCCCTTTGCTCTATTACTTTCTCCCTTTTGGCACATGTATTTGTTGTTGTTGCCATCAGGAACTGTGGTTAAATGACGGGCAGACACACAGGCTCCTGACGGGCCCCCTGTTGTCCACTGCAACCCCCTTCATTTCTGTCTCTTTCCCACTGTGCCTCTGCAGTAAGCATTAGCCGACCTGTCTAAACAGCCCAGCGGTCCATTCAGACGGGGGGTAAACATACACATCACTGCGCTCATTAGCCCCGCTTAATGCAG